ACATGGGTGTATTTACACACATGTAGGTATAACATACATTTAAAAAATAATAAATAAGCTGGGCGTGGTAGTGCACACCTTTAGTCCCAGCACGTAGGAAGCAGAGGCAGGCTGATCTCTGTGAGTTCAAGGCCAGCCTGGTCTACATAGTGAGTTCCAGGCCAGCTGGGGCTTGGGGGAAATCCTGTCTCAAAAAGACCAAAATAAATAAATAAAAAGCTTAAAAAAAACAAAACTACAACCCTGACAGAGCACCAGAGAGATGGCTCAGCAGGTAAAGGCACTTGCAATGCAAGCCTGGAAATCTAAGTTCAATCCTTGAAACCCATAAAAAAGTGGAAGGAGAAAACTGACTCCACAAAGTTGTCCTCTGACCTCCACACTCGTGTCATGACATGTGGGCCCTCTATCACATGTGCATATCCACACCCACCCACCACATATATATTTTTTCTTAATTTATTTTTTAAAACCTCATAGAGGGGCTGAGGAGATGACTTGGTGGGTAAAGTGCCTGCTGATCAAACATGAGCAATTGCATCCAGATCCCTAGCACTCCCATAAAGCAAGGTGCAGTGGTACATCTCCATCCCCAGCACTGGGAGGAGGAGGCAGAGGCAGGACGATCCTTGGAACTCAGTGGCCAGCCAATCTAGTCATCCAGCCCTGAGGTTTAGTACAGAGACCCTTATATCAAAAATAAGGCAGCAGCAAGGTATGCTGCCATATGCTTTTTAAAAACATTTTTTATTGTTTTTATGTTTTATGCACATTGTATGTGTGTAAGAGTACCCGTGTCATGCAATGCCTGAGGAAGCCAGAGAGGGGGTCAGATCCCCTAGAACTGGAGTTATAGTCGGTTGTTAGCTGTCATGTGGGTGCTGGAAACTGAACCCGGGTCCTCTGCAAAAGCAGTCAGTGCTCTTGATGGCTGAACCATCTGCTCCAGCCCCTTATATGTTTAAATCCCAGCACTGGAGAGGCAGATGCAGGCAGATTTCTGTGAGTTCAAGGCCAGTCTGGTCTACATACCAAGTTCCAGGCCAGCTGGGACGGCAGGGAGAGCCTGTCTCAAAAAAAAAAATCTAAAAAAAAAAAAAAAAAAAGTGGAGAATGATTAAGAAAAACGCCCGACGTTGGGCTCTGCACATGCAGGTATGTGCACTTACACATGAAGAGACCATACACAGACACATGCACACAGCATACACATATGAACACATGCACACATACACACACAAAGAACTGATGTAGGGTTACAGGGTAATTCAGTGGTAGAGTACATGTACCATGCAGGAGACCCCAGCTCAATCCCAGCTCCCCAGAAGTTGATGAACAATATTCCCTTCTTACACCACTCTCCCAAGTAAATTCATTACCCTCAAATGACGACCAAGCTGCTGGCGACAGGAGATATTTACTGTACTTCCATCTAAGTGACTGCTTAAAACTGCACAGCTAGGACATGTGTGGAAAGTACACTGACCACTCATCAGAACCAAAGGAGTACTACCTTGATGTCTCTTTACCTTCTCACATTTCTTGTCCAAGATTTTCCTTTGAAAGGAGGAACGTGCTGGCTAACCAACTCGAGTGACTCCAAGCCTCGGAGAGACAAGCTATAAAACTCAAGTCAGGCTGGCCCTGCAGGATCCCAGGGTGGAAGGCACCTTTCCTGTACCTTGCCCCCAGCCCACCCACAGGGCTGCACTCAGAACACACAGCCTCTCCTCACTGCCAGCAGATCCTTCCACAGATCTGGGGTGCTTAAGAAGGGGAGTTCTGCTCTGCACAATGCCTCCCTGGCCTGGGCCAGGTGGAGGGGAGGATGAGGTGGCCAAGCTTAAGGATCAAGAAGGTAAGGCAGACCCCAGGGCAATGAGGGTCCCAGGTCCCTCTTGTGAGTGGGCTGGTACCCCAGATCCCTGCACTTGGAGGCCATGCCCAGCACAAAGTGATGATGGACTCCTTTTTGAGAGCAGCCCAAGGCTCAAGCTGGGAGTCCCTGCACTGGAGAGCGGAGGGGACTGAGGCAAAAGGATCAGAAGTTCAAGGTCATTTTTGGCCAGCGAGTTCAAGGCTAGCCTGAGCTACATGAGACCCTGTCTCATAACAAAACAAAAGCAAAAAGAGAAAAACCTCTTTCTTACCTAGGAGCCCAAAGCAGCAGCAACTGAGCCAAGGGGAACTCAGGACCACTATCTACAGCCTCAGGGTGTTGTGTGTTTCCTTTCCCACATGGCTCACAAAAGCCCAGTAAGACTGAGACAGATATCCCCAAGCATCCATACAGACTGTCTGGCATTCTGGGGCACCAACACCCACAACTTCCAAAGTAGACACAAGGCTGGCCCACCCGCTGCTGTTGGAAAGCTAACCATGATGGAAAACACACATGGGCCATGTCCTCCGAGTCTGCATGGGTCAATCTTTTTTTTTTTTCTTTTCTCTTGATAGGGTCTCCCTATATATGCCAGACTGGCCTTGAACTTTAAATCCTCCTGCTTCAGCCTACCTATTAAAACCACCCATAGAGCCAGGTATGGGGATGCACAGCCATAGTCATCGCAGCACCTGGCAGGTAGAGGGAGGAGGATCGGGACTCAAAGCCAGTGCAGTCACAGAAGACTCTGCCCCCTCCCTCAAAAAAGAAAAGCCAAAACACACTCATATAAAAACAAACAACAACAAAAACTCTCAGGCCCACTCCAGCATTCATAAAAATGGGAGGGAGGTGCCCTGCTGAGGGTGAGCCTGGCTAGGCTTCTACAGCTGGGAGCAGGACTGTCCTTTCTGCCAGCAGGGAAGAGGCCTCCAATTCTCTCAAAGGAAGCCAAGTATCACAGGGCCCAACTTGATAGTTTAAAGGGGGGGGCACTCTAAGCATTTAAAAAGTTCCCATTTAAAAGGATCCTTGTTCATTGACTTTGGTGGAGCAGTTACTAGTGCAAACAAGGGAGCTTGTCTGGGAGCGGGTGGGGGAGGTGCCGCAGCTAGGCCCTCTGTAGACTTCTGCTTATGGGGTCCTCTACCTGTTCCACCAGACCCCCTGTGATGGCTCTTCATCTGTAAGCTTGTCCCCACTGCTGGACCTCCACTAGGCACCACTGAATGCTTGTCACCTGGCCTGGAGTCCAGGCTCTCTCCTAATGCTGTGTCGCTAAGCGCACCCTAGTCGACATAATTAGGCTGTGATAAAAAAAAAAAAATCTGGGGAACCACAGCGGGCGAGCATGGAGCAGTGTCCTCACCCACCCTTAACAAGAACAGGGCTTCTAGCACATTCGGCTCCACAAATTACAGGCACGGCTCCACCAGGGGGTTTCTGAGGACGGCACTGGCAATTTGGGGTTGTCTGCCACCCACGGCAATCGTAGGTTACTCTATGCCAGGCACAAGGCTGTCACAAACCACTCCTGACAGGCTACTCAAAGCTGGGCACCGGATCCTCAGAGCAGGGCGACACAGCAGTCAGAAAATGCCAACTGAGTGAGGCAGCCTGAAACCCCAACACTCCTATTCAGTCCTGCCTTTCTGACCGGTGGATGAAATTAATTCAGCATCAAGCCCTAAACATCAGCTCAAATACCTTCTGAAGCTCCTTTCCTGCACAGATCAGGGAGCTGCGGCACTACAGTCCCCTCCTCCCCTGCAGATCTGCAGGGCCGATGTGGAAGGGCAGAAACCGGTTTCCAGCGCCCTCAGCCCCTCCTCCACTCCCTCCTCTCCAATGAGCAAAGTTAGAGGGTATTAAAAGCAAGCTGGCCCCCTTGGAGATCACCCAGTCCAATGTCTGATCAGCTTTTACATGCGAAAGGGCCAAAGCTGCAGCAAGCGTCTCTGTGAGGGACGGCAGCGGAGTCCTCCGCAACCCTGGGCGCTGGCCCTGGACAGCCTCCCCTGACCCACCCTGTATCTCCACAGGAACCCCCCCCACCAAACAAACCTCCTCCACTGACACCTCACATGCATTTCAAACCTTTCTAAGGAGCAACTTCTTTTAGTAGCAGCCACAAAAACAATCAGCCTGACTGGAGCTGAAGTCTAGGATTTTAGGGTGACCTACTTCCCCAGAGTCTCCCCAGAAGCACTCTATTTCTCTATCATGCCAGAGTCTCTCCCCACCTGGGCCCTAGGCTTCATTCAGGCCACATCTCTGCCTCTCCCCACACTCAACAGTTTCTGCAAAATCTCTCTAGTTTTTAACTTAGCCCGGTCCTTTAAAACAGAACTAAGCAGCAAAGTGAGGATGTTATCCACATTTTTCCAAGGCCAGTGGCGGTTCCGGTTCTGAAGTCCAACCATTTGTCGTCCTTCTTGATCAACCAGGCATCCCTCCAGCGTTTCACCTACTCTTACTGCAAGAACTAAACAGAGGCTGGAGCGATGGGTCAGTGGCTGAGCGACTGTACAGCCCTTGCAGAGGACCTAAGGTCAATTCCCAGCACCACATCCGGCAGCTCACAACCGCATGCAACATGCTCCGGAAGGATGCAACACCTCTGGCACAGGCACACACATGTACCACAGAGACACATGTACACACACACACAGAATTGAAAAATAAACCTTTTTTTTTTTTTTTTAAAGGAGCAAAATAGAGGGAACGATTTCCACTACACCCTACCTGTGTTCACAATAGAGGAGCCAGCGGTAGGGGATGCACAGGGCACACTCCACTGTGCTGGGGAGTCATCCAGAGTAACCTTCTGCCCAGCCTTCTGTTTCTGGGCCCCACACAACCACTAGATCCCAACAACTGCTCCCACTGTTCATCTTGCAGATCCTCTTTCCCAGGCCCTGGACTAAAGACGTGCACCCCAATAACAAGGCGCTCCAAGGCCCGCTCTGTGGTGAGCTAAGGTACCAAATGGAGAGGCTGGAGCTGAGGCTACACTCCATCAGTGGCCCACAGGGAAGCCCGCAGGGAAAGCACAAACCCCAGGCTCCCCTTCCCACCAGGTGGCCCTCCACTTCTAGATTCATCACGGGTAACTGACCAGCAAGATGTGCTCCTGGATTCGGACATCCCTGCCCTGGAAAAGCCCTCCGCTGTAATGTGCTCGACCGCGGCACATCTAGCGCAGCACACCTTGGAGAGGAATGGGTTAAGTGCAAGGGGCTGCAGACGGAAGGGGGTTTGTTGGGGGGGGCAGGGGCGGTATGCAGAGGTACGGATGGATGTGCAGGGGATTTTCTGAATCCGAGGACCTGGACCAGGAGCGCGGGGCTCCCTGAACCTCCTCTCCAGGCAGGCGGCAGGCAAGGAAGGGACCCGCAAAGGGACCGGCCCGGGAGGGGCCAGCAGAGCCACGGGGAAGGGTGCAGGGGCCGAGCGCGGAGGCAGGGCCGAGCTGGCGAACTCTCACAAGTTGGTAGCACAGGATCAGTAGCCAGAAGGGGCCGAAGGGTCACCCACTCCGGGCCCGGGCAGCGCACGGGAAGCTGCTCCCGGCCGCAGCGGGCCCGGGATGCGGACAACCAAGGGCAGGTGCAGGCGGGAGTGCCGGGCCGGGTGGGGGCGGGGCGCCGGGCCCGGAGGCGGCGGGATGCCCTCGGCCGGGCTGCCGTGGCCGGG